CTCTCCTGATAACTGATGATGGAGGAGAAGACATGAAAAACAAATCAGGCTGAATTCAAGTTCAAACACCACGAGGACCAACTGCAGGTCTGAATGTCTTACACAGAGTTACTGATGAATTACTGACTGTGAAGCACTATGGTCAACACTGTTGTTTTAATATGTGCTATATAAATAAATTTTGATTTGATTAGATTTTGAATTTATAAGTGAAAAGCTGAAATAAAATGTTGGTGTTTGTATGAACAGAGCAGAGTGGTGCACTCTTACGTGGACCTCGGTTTAGTGCTAGTCTTTTGTATTTACTAATTATATTATTATAACATAACTGTATGTGATTCCTTGTGTAACAGTAACTACATTAGAGCATGAAATATGAAATGATGAGATCAGTTTTATTGTAGAATTATATATCAAATATTACAAAGTTGTTCTTTATGTTCAGCTCAAATCAACCTGAGTGTCATTTCTCTTTAGTTCTGATCTCACTGCTGAGCTGCACAACAAACCAAGGTCAGTAACCTTCTTCTGTCACAGTTTAAACCTGAAAACTCTGACAGGTTTTACACATTTGGATTAAAACTTTCAGTAAAGATCTCAAAGACGTGATCATCAGTTTTTCATTTTAACCCTCACAGCTCGTCTGACTGTGAGTCCCAGCAGCTCTCAGTTCTTTGAAGGAGACTTTGTGTCTCTGAGCTGTGAGGAGGACGACAGCTCTGCTGGATGGACTCTGAGGAGAAACACAAGCAAGACAGAGGACTCAGTGTGGGAGATGGGTTGGGACAACCGCTGGTTCTTGACGTGTAACATCACTGTTTTCACTCCATGGACAGTGGAGTTTACTGGTGTGAGTCCAGAGAGGGTCCCATCAGTAACATGGTTAACCTGACAGTCACTGGTAAGCTGAGTGTGTGGAGTTAGTGTTGATGAAGCTGTGTGTAAATGGATGAAATGCTGTAGTTTGTCTCTGTGTTGAGGTGGATCAGTGATCCTGCAGAGTCCTGTCCTCCCTGTGATGGAGGGAGATGACGTCACTCTGCTCTGTAAAACAAAGACCACTCCCTCCAACCTCCCAGCTGCTTTCTATAAAGATGGCTCCCTCATCAGGAAGCAGCCTACAGGTCACATGACCATCCAGCATGTTTCCAGGTCTGATGAAGGCCTCTACAAGTGTGACATCAGCGGTCATGGAGAGTCTCCATCTCGTGGTGGTCATGGAGAGTCTCCATCCAGCTGGATCACTGTCACAGGTGACACACTCACCTGTCTGTGTTTCTGCAGCTTTCAACATTCACAATAAACTAATGATTACATGTTGTATGTTTAAGGGAAACCTACAAACACATCTCCATCTACTCCCACACCTGTATCTACATCCACTTCTATCCCTACATCAGCCCCTGCCCCGCATCTTGCTGTTCCTGTGTTAATCTCTGTTGGATCAGTCTGTGTTTTGGTGCTACTGGTGTTACTGGTTCTGCTGGTGAGACAATGCAATCACAGAAAACCTGAAGGTGAGTCTCAGACTTCCTGATCTTTCATGTGTGGAGTTTGATTTGTTGAACAATTTAAACATTATTATGATTAGATTTCAGTGTTTATTTTATCTGTCTGTGATAATAACATTTGCATTCATATGAGAAATTATATTACTGTCACATTTCAGCAGATCAAGACAAAGCTGCAGGAGAAGATGTCACATACAGTGACGTCAAGATATCACATGGTCGACAGCAGCCTGTGAAACACAGCAGAGGTAATGTTTGGGGAAATTTTGGCGGGAGATGGTGTCAGAAAGCTGTATGTTTACGATAAGGGAGATGTGCCAGTTTTATACCACTACAGCATTTCCAAATATATAAAGCAAATCTTTGAAAAGCATGTAGAGTTCACTTCATGTGACAGGAACAAGTCGCCTCAGGTAAAGACCTTCAGTAACAGAGAGAATACTGAAATCTATGACACAGTTCAGTAACATGGAGATTGTTTGAGAAACAAGCATCAGCTGAAATAGGAAACAAATGACTTGTTACTTTTGTAAAGATTTACGTGAGTGCACTTATCATTTTCTTGGCATCCTGTGTCCATGTAGCTTATTTGATAGACTGTATACCAACGATGGACAAGGCTCTATGACATCATCCACCAGTTTCTGAAAGTTTGCAGCATTTTCAGGCCTTAAAGTAAATGTTAGTTTTATTTAGACTAATGTGACTAATGTGAAGGAGAAGTGTGAAGTTATCAATGCCAATGCTAGCTAGCTTATAGAGCTACATCCACAGACAGCATGGGGCAGATAACTGGGCACATGTTTAGTAGAAGCGTGACCTGCTGGAGGGAAAGGGTTAGGGGTTAGCTTTGATCAGATTTGATTGGCTCCAGAGTGGTTAGATTTGGGCTAACGTTTCAGGAACGTAAAATCGAGGGCACATAAGAAACTGGAAGCATGTCACAGTGTGCGTATTGAGCCCTGGATCATGAGGAGCTTCATCTTTTCAAGAGGTTAAGACTGTGCGTTAGTCTAACGTTGTGCGTTTATGATAGATCGCGAGAACATTATGAAGCATGTTAGGCATATAGCTCGCCTTCATAATTTACACATTTACTGATAAAGATTATTCAGTTATTTAAATGACTTTTTCATAGGAAGTTAATTCATAGGTAGTATGCAACACCATCTTAGTTAAATATAGCTGTATGTAAAGTTTCACACCATACTAAGTGAGAATTGTTCTTTGCATGCTGGACGGTCTGTTGTCTGCGGTTAGCTGAAGCTAACAGCTCCGCAGTTGTTCAGCATCCTGTTTGTGACATAAAGAAAACACTTCAGCTGCAGGTGTTTCAACACAGGGCTGTTAGTTTAAACTTCTTTAAACACGAAAAACATTTATGTGATAACATCTTAAATTCCATTAATCTCAGTATCTTTGTTTAGGCTCTGAATCTACCTTTTATGACGGTAATCATTTGTTAGTTGTGTGATATCGTGGCACGTTTACCTGATCTGTGGTCACTCAGTTCCTTGAGTACATTTTATTTGTCACAGAAGCCGTCACCTTTTCAGTGATTCTATCTTCTGCTTAAACTATTTTAAACATTCTAAATCATCTAAATACTTTGTGTTTTATTGTGCAGAGAGAGATTCTGCTACAGTCTACTCAGAAACGAGAATTGAAGACGTCAGTTATGGAGAAATCGTCATCAAAGACAAGAAGAAAAAGTCAAAGACAAAAGGTAGAGCTGCTCCTCTTTTTCTCCATCTGGGTTCGTTTCTACATCCAATCACTGAGCTAAATGCTAACATATGAATGCTAACACTTTAATAGTTCATAACATTTGAACTTCACATGTTCACCATCTTAGCAGCACGCTCAGCATCATGAACACAAGAAACAAACAACATACTGCTGCATTTAAACAGTGAGCTAAATTGGATCTTTGGGGTTTTAAGCAACAAACGGTTCTTTTTACGTACATGTGCCAGTTTCCTGATTGGCTTCCTACGGTCATGTGATGATGAACATTTTCTCAGAATCCTCAGCTGTTTCGTGAAAAACTAAGTGTACCTCATTGATTTATCTTCTTTTCTTCATCTTCTTCTTATCTATATGACTTTCACAGTCTTGTCATTGTGAAGGAATTTTGGCCCACTTTTCTTTGCATCATTGAATCAGGTCTTTGACGTTTGTGTGCATTTGCGATGCACAGCTCTCTTAATAAGATCACTAACGTTCTCCTAAGCGTTCCAATCAGACTCAGGTCTGGGCTCTAACTGGAGTGTTGCAGCTTTGTTTTTTGGGTTCACATTAAACTCTAGAACACTTTGGAATACAGAGAAGTTACTGGTTGGTTCATTTAGTGCAAGGTGCTCAGGTCCTGTGCTTCAGAACAGGCCCAAATCCTCACACCTCCACCACCATGCTGACAGTCGGTATGTGGCGTCAGTGTTGATGTGCAGTGTTTGGTTTTCCCTCAAATGTTGTCTTGTGCATTATGGACAAACATTTACTCTTTGGTCTCATATGAGGACAAAGTTCCAGAAGTCTTGATTTTTGATTTCTTGGTTTGTTCAGATACGAAAAATCCCAAAACAAAACATAAAGAGAGAAGACGTTTTCCCCTGGGAAGTCTTTTTTTATTTGAATTGTTTTAATTTTACCATAATGAACTTTAACATTTAGCATGTAAAACCTGTAGAGTCTGAGGTGTAGCTGTTGGATGTTTTGCAATTTGCTGGGATGTTGACTGCTGGGGAAACTGCAGTAAACACTTGCTGATGATCAGTTAATTAAGTGCATTTGATTAGTGTTTGGCTGCTTACCTTAGAAATTCCTGTGGACACAATGAGGTTGTAGACAACAGACTCACCTTCATGACACTAAAACAAATCTGGCATTAAGCTCAGCCCACTGTGGCAGTCTCTCTTCACAGTTACACACAACAGCCGCTTTAACTTGTGGCGTCAGCCCCAAACAGTCGCTGTAAGTTGTAATTTTGCTGTCAAACAATCCCAAAAAAGGCACATCAGATTGGGCAGGTAGTAACATCTGAGGATGTCAGCAGGGTTGATGCTGCGATTTGAGCTAATTGTCTACTACTACTCAGCCACAAGCTGTGAGTAGGATCTGGATACAAGATGCAGAGCTGCCAGTGCTCGCTCTTAGACAAAGAGTTCTTTATTAATGCTTTTTATTCATTCCTGTTAACAATAACCTTAGAGAAAGGCCAAAGATAACAATGTATTATTGGTTCTTTCAACACTTCCAGACAGCATGACTGTCTGTGGTGGCTCATTGGTTCCAACCGAATACATAAAATGTTAAAACACTAAAAATCTAACCTTCAAACTTCCTCTGTGTTGCTTCACTCAAAGAAACAGGAAACGCGGCACTTGTTGTCGATTTTCTTTAGCAGCAGATTAATCCACACTTCTGCGGGATGGTGTGTGTAAGCATGTTGTCATGATGATGAACAGACAGGTCATCCAGCTCAATAGCTCTGCTTTCTGATGTGATTTTAGCACAAATATGGCACATCTGCCATTTTCTTTGAGCGACATGTGGCTCTCAGCATCTGCCTCAGCTTAGCCACAAGTGCCCTGTGAATTGACCAGATGCCATGTGTGACATTTGGGCCACTTCTCTACCACAGAACATCCGTCATGCTGTAATAGAGCGATACATGACAAAAGCAGCCCACATTAGGCACAGATGTGCCTTGGTACACACACAAGATAGAGAAGCAACGTCCTGTGGTTGAAACCAGTTAGTCTGAAGCAGGTGAGATTTCTATCTGCTATGTGCTCTGGCTTGGATAGTAATAGTGTTCATGTTGTGAGACTGTAGCTTGTGGTGAAGTGTGTCATTTAGCATTGTAGAAGCAGCAGCTTGGTGGATGTCACCTTTCTTTTTCACACAAAACATCTCACAGGTCGATCCAGTCATTCATTGGCTCAGAGCAGAGAGGTGTTAAGAGGTGTGAGGTGCTGCTGCAGTGTATGAAGTACATGTACTTTCTACATGATGCAACATTGCAAATACAATTTTGACATATTTTTCGTGACCTAACAGTTATTCCCAGCAATCATATCAAAAGCAGTTCTGGAATCAGTTTTGGAAAAAACTAAGCAGGTCGGATCAACGAGGCCCAGGGATAAAGCTCCTCGTTATGTTTAACCTTGAACAGAGTAGATTTACGTCCTCTTGCAGTCACTATTATGAGTGACATTATGACTCACTTTTGAGCTTTGGTCAGAATTGTAACTGAAATCAAACTTCTCATCTTTCTCCGAAAGCAACCTTTTAATAAAGACATGTGAGCAGCATATGAGGTTAGTTATAGATGACCAACACCAAACTGGACCATCTCTACCCCCAACTGTCACTCAGCAACAGATCCCCACAGCGCTGCCTTCTCAGCCCCCTACTCTACACCCTGTACGACTATGACTGTACACCAACTCACCCAACCAACATCACTGTCAACTATGATGAAGATAAAACCGCACACAGGAGGTAGTGAACATCTCCTGGTGGTGCTCATGAATGAACCTCAAGCTGAATTCCCTTAAACACCCTGGTAAAGAAGGCCCAGCACTTCCTCCGTGTCCTGACGAAGAATAACCAGAAGCTGCTGCTGGCCTTCTCCTCAGTGGAGAGCCCGAGAGAACATGTTTGCTGGGGTGTTGTTTGAACACAGGTAGCTGTGCACTTACTGGACACTCAACTGTAGCTCTCATGCTGACACAGTGAACATTACCATTCAACAAGCATTAGACGACAGCTGTGCTTCATTTAGCTACATTAAAGCTCTACACAGTACAGACCTTGCCCACTCAAGCTGACAAATAATGTTCATTTAAAAGTTGAAATGGGAGAAAAAGCAACTGTAATTCTTCAAGTGCATCAATCAAAGTAAAACATGGACTGGCATCAGTGAGTTTTGGGGGTATTTTTTTTTCTTTCCTTTTAGGAAGAAACTTTTTGGTCACCATGGATTACTTCTCTTTATCTACAGCTCACACTGTCTGTGGTGCACCACAAGGTTCAACCTTAGGTCCTATTTTTCTTTCTATTTAAGTTCTTCCATTTAAAAAAAAACCCCACAACATCTCCTTTATTGTTACACCAGAGCCATACAGATATCACTTCCCAAAAGACCCAGCAGCTGTTTTAAATGATCTCAGTCACGTGACTGTAAATGTTGTCATAAAGCTGGCATCAGCTTAATACTACAGAGATGAGGCCGACTGAATCAGCTAAAAAACACATTTATATAAAACTCATTTTGTGTGATTCCATTACTTAATCTGTACCAGTAGGATCGGACGTCTGTGGCTGTGGTAGAGTTGGGTCATACCAGTCAGAAGGTCAGCAGATCAACCCATGACTTCTCCCTGAAACATCGATCGGAGTGTGACTGAGTGTGTGAATGCCAGAATGCTTAGGCACAGATAAAAGTACTGTATGTGCTTGTGACTGGGTAAATTAGAGTTGGACAAAGAAGTCAAACTAACAACTGAACATCTGCCTAAAGAACAAATGTCTGAACATACCTGTAGAGTCCTAGTTATTATTAGACCATTCAGGCCTGTGGCACAGCAAAAGTTTTCAGTGTTGACACAATTGTACAATTGTAACCATGCTCTCTGGTCTTTCTGGGCTATGGGTGTGTGGTGGGCTTTCTCTTAAAATGATCTTTTATTTAAAACAAACAAACAAAAACACCAACAGGGCAGGACGGTGTGCACTCAACCTTTTACTCTGTCGTCTCCTCGACACACATGGCACACAGGATACGTTACTCTCCATAAAACAGTCCCTTTGTAACCACTAGGTAGGAACAAAAATTACCTCCTACAAGATGCCTTGTATGAAGTAGTTAAATATGTAAAACAAATATGCAAGCCGGGTGGTTTTCTGTCTGAGACACGAGTTATTCCCATCATAAAAACAGAAGACAGATAAAGTTAAAAAAAGAAACAAAAAAATGGTTTCGGGATGGTTTCTTGTGAGGAAGGACGTAGTGTCTTTAGAAAATCTTGCTGACTCTTGCGATGCAGACAGGCAGCAGACTTTAGAGGTGGTTCCTGTTTTTACGTCTCACACCTCCGCCCATCTGTCAGGGTGGAAAAAAGAGAGAAGTTGGAATCAACAAGTGTTTGACTTTTTAATGTGGCTTTTTGTTAATTTCATGGATGATTCAAGTAACAGTTAAAGTGTGGGCAGCATGGAAACTGTGATTTGTATCTGAAGTAGTTCTCTAGGAGCTTCTCAAGCAGTCCTTTAATACGATTCATTAACTTATATTTTTTTAATCTGCATGTCAAACCACAGCAGAAACTTCCTCCTGTAGCCTGAGGCCAGCTGCAGTGCAGTCTGCTTTGGGTTGGCTAACAGCGGAGTGTTGCAATAAGATGTTTGCTTCATGCGCTGTGGGGAAAGTGTGGCAGTTTGCAGTAAAAGAGCACGGCGGTTTTGTGGATGTCACCTTTGTTTTTCTCATAAACACCTCACACTTCTATCCACTCACTCATTGGCTTACAGCAGAGGTGTGAAGGGGAGAAAAGATGTGAAAACCCCTTTGGACTTTAAAAAATACTCATCGCTTGTATCACTTGTATTCTTCAGGATGCAACATAACAAATAAAGTGTTTTGTAGTAGCTGTGGTGTTGCAGTTGTTGTACCTGCAGTAATTTAAATGTGTTTTATTTTACAGAGAGCGACAGCATGGCGGTCTACTCCTCAGTGAAAACTAAAGACCTCAGTTATGAACAAGTAGCCATCAGCCCAAAGAGAACCAGAGGTACAGCTGCTCTTTATCTCTCACTTTAAACAGAGCAAAGCTAGCAGTGTCATGCTAAGCTAAGCTAACCATGTTCTCACTCAAACTCAGGATATCAACCTTCGCATCTTGAAAGACGCAGGAACCAAACAACTTCCTCCTCCTCTTAGTGTGATGCATAAGCATACTACACTGATAACAAGTTTTCAAATGACTAAACCAGGGTGTTTTTAGACAGAAGACGAACCAATCAGCTCAAGGCCCAACGTAAGATAAAGAAGCATTTTTCTTTTTTGAGAACGAGTTTCAATTTCAAGTGCTGCACCAATTTGAGACAAATTTAAGAAAACTGACAAAATAAACAGCCAAAATCAACCCACACAACAAGGAAATATCTCAGTGGTCACATTTTAGTGAAGGGCAGGGGTTAATGTGTGATTTGGCAGGTGGGGAAACCTTAAGATTGGCTGTAGTGGTGCAGCGTGGGGAAAAGAGTTACTTAAAAGTGAATCACATAGTAATGTATCATGTGGTAGACTTTACTGTGGGTACAGGCTGTGACTGATATTCACTGATCGTTGTGAACTGAGCCAGCTGATTTAAACACGTAAAAGCAGATGTTTCGTGAGCTGTCATAAATTTTAAACCCCTGATAATAGACAGCTAATTTCAAAGGTAGAATTTACTGAGTGAACATCATCACCTTGAATTTAGATCGATGCCTGCAGCCTTTGCTGCAACCTACATGAAAACCACAGCCTGCTGTGTACAGTGCAGCATAGAGTATATATGGATACTTAAGTCTGTTTGCAGGATATTTCATGAAAAACAAATCAACAACACACCTAGTTACCAGTGGACCATCCTGGTACATTGTAGACAACATGTAGCCTCAGCTTTTAGTGTCAAACTGCTAATTTTGTCACCACAGACCTACAGACTAAATAGGGACGTTGATCATTTGACGCTTAAAGTTTGTTTCAGTCGGTAAAAAGGTTAAAGCAGGGTAAAACAGTAAAAAAAAAAAACCCAGCGATGCCTCAGATGATGGTGTGGAAACTATTTCTGTGTTTCATGTGAGGATTACACCGTTTCCTCTGAAAATCTTGCTGAGTTGCAAACAGGCGGCAGACTCTGGAGCTGGTTCCTGTTTTTAAGCGTCGCTGCTCGTCCTGTCTGATAAAATCTGTCAGTTTAAATTTAAATGTCATTCAGTGATGCTGATGAGCTCATTACTGATCATTAATCATGTTTCCTGTTGTTTCAACTGTTTGTGTTCAGACTTTAAACCAGAGCCAGAGGTCGTCTACTCTTCACTGAAGTAGTCCACCAGTCCAACCACTGACGTCCAGCTGCTGGTCTCTAACTGGTTCCCCCAGCACCTCAGACCAGAGGACATCCACATGTTACAGATTTTATTAAATATATTTTATGTCTTAATCTCCTGTTGTTGGACCCGTGATTCATAATTTGCATTTTGATGCAAAATCAGCAATGTGAAATATTTATGTAAATAATGTAAAATAGAGATATTTCTATGTAACATTAAAAACTTCCAGATGTTTTGTGGTATTTGTTTACGTTTGTCCTGCTCCTGTTCCCACGCAGCATGGGGTCGGGGGTATCTCTGTGGCATTGATAAAATTTTGCTCTCTCATGCTCCTCGTGTGGTTCTGTGGGTTTCAAACATGGGGGGAGATGGAAAACTTGATTTGCTCCACTTTTGTTGTGGCTTACCAATACATGCCTGGCTTCAGTGCAGAAAACAAAACAAAAAGATGTATATTAAACCACAGCCACAGACTCAAAGCAGCAGGCACTGCAAACTGCACAGAGCAGCGTCAGCATGCTTGATGGAGGAAGAGGTTTACTGCTGTAGGCATCCAGAAACCACCTGCACAGCAGCTAGCATGGAAACACTTTTACATTTAAATCAATATGGTTTCTGGCAGCAGTTTCTCTCAGTTTTCTCTCAAACATGAACATGTTGTGGGGTCAACAATATAACAAACCTGAATAGTTAGTTTTTATTATAGTCGGCATTTTACAGTTATTACAGTTTTATTTATTTATTATTATTGTCACACTCAGTATTTTAGGATAAAACATGAAACTGAAACATTTTGGTGTCTAATAAAATACACACTTATGACCACGTGACTCTGACTGGCTCCTGAACCAGCACAGAGCTCAAACAGTTACCTCTCAGTAAAGCTGAAAAGCAAAGGCAGATTTAAAGTCTGCTGCCCTCTACTGGTTAAACCTGGTGTTACAACAGAGCGGTTGCTTTAAAAATGACAGCACTTGAACCTCTACTAGAAGATGTCACATTTTAAATCAGTTATCTTATACTTTCAAATTAGGTACAACACATAGATAGAAAAAAAAAATCAATGACAGTAAAAGGATCACCAGTGTGTGGATAGCAAATTTCCCACGTGTGGGACTAGTAAAGGTTTATCTAATCTAATCTAATCAGGAGGTTAGAGTCACTAACAGGTGAGATTTTACTGTTTATCTCACCTGGTCTTGGAATAACTGGGAGTTGCTGGAATAAAGCCCGTCTGTCCCTGATCAGCCTGCTGCACATCATTCCTTTGAGTTTTCTTTAATAATAGAGTAGATCTGCACATTTTTTCTCCATCTGACTGCACAATGTAAATAGATCTAAATCTAAAGATATGAAAAGGATCACAGATATGTACACATCCAGGTCTGTAAGACATCCTTGTAACTAACTGATTAGCATTGTCTGGCTTCATCGATAAAGATAACTGGGTATCTCTATTGTAATGAAAATAGGTTTTCAATGCCTAAAGGAAGTGTGTATAACATAAAGCATATTACCGGAGCAAAAAACCCTGTAATTAATTAGTTATAGCTACTAGTTACTTCTTCAAAAAAGTAACTAACTGAGTTAGTCATTGAGTTAAAATATTCTTAAAGCAACTAATTACTAAGAAAAGTAACTATTGCGTTTGTTTAACCCTCCGATGTCCAGGGTATAATTGGCTGTTTTTGACTACTTTTGATATTACTGCTACATTACCCCTTTAAAAACTTGCCTTGCCTTGTTTAGGTGCCATTCTTTTCAGCACAACCTCACATGTCTGAATTTGACATACTGTATTAAAGTAAAACTGCATTGCTTGCGTGCTGGTTTGGCCTATCAACACAATTTAAAACTTGGCGTGTAGTTTGAAGTCAACACTTTTAACACAAAATTGGAGACTCAGGGTTGTCTTGGGTTGATGTAGCATCTTGTTGCTATGTCATCTTAAATTGGTCATGTGATTGGTTTACCATGGCTACTATATTCCTCAGCCAATCAGCAGCACTCATGTGCACTGCGTAACTATAAAAGCAGTAAAAGTGTTTGTCTCTTAGTAAAAATGAGAGCAGCCCATGATGATAAAAACATGTCAGTTTCCAGCGAGACAGTAGGGAGCTAACAAAGCTAACAAAGCTGCTAGACATACAAAACATGAGGTAAATTATAGATTGTATATAAAAGAAGGACGCCATCGATGTGATATCAGCTTAATATTTGCATGATGGTAACTTTCATGTTGTTTTTTTCCTTATAGACAGAATTGACCATTTTTGAACGAGATAATGAAGTGATGAAGTTATCAACTAATTCTGGTGACCAAGCTGCATCCATTAAAAATAATTATGAATAGAAGATTTAAAAGTAAATTATGGCAACGTGGTTTTTACCTGGGTAAAAAGCACACAAAGACAGCAACCATTATTTTGTGCTGTTGTGTTGTTTTCCACAAATGTGGTAAAAATTACTAGAATATTTACTGGTATCAAAACATCATTAAAATCCAAAAACAAACAAACCAAATTATTGAAACTTCCTTGTGTTTTAATCAGTAACTGTGGACACACAACTCTTCAATCATCCATCAGGGGGTGCTGCAGCACCTTCAGTGCCTCCTGCTTCCCTGACCTTGTGACGTTTCAGTGTAAAAATGGCCGCAACATGCACAAAGCAGGATGCAGATGAGAAGGATGAGGGGGGAAATGTGTGGCAGAAGAACAATAAAAAAGCAACAAAGGAAAGAGGAAGATTTGCACGTTCATAAACCAGAAAAGCTCATTTGGATTAATTAAGCAGGTTATGGAGATGACAACAATTTTACAGCTCAGTGTACATTTTATTCTTTTTTTTTTTTTAGCTGAAAGTGGATTCAAACATTATACTGAGGGGGGTGGGGCACTTTTTTTTCTTCATATGTAGTTATTAGGGGTGCAACGATATTCGTATCGATATCGAACCGTTCGATACAGTGCTTTCGGTTCGGTACGCATATGTATCGAACAATAC